CTTTCAATGGTCTAGACTCTGGAGTACCTGATTTTCTTTGCCTGGAGAAGAGCTATTGCATCTGAAATCTGCCAAACAGAAGATGAAGAAGGGGAAGCAGAGAAGCTTCCAGGCAAAGAATGTCTTTCCCACAGCTGCTGGACTACAGATACATGGCCAGTCCTGGCTTCTAGCAAGTGCACAAGAGGCCTTTTGTTCAAAGAGTAAAATATGTTCAGTACTAATGCCCTCAAGGTGAGAAATTGTGCCTCAAATTTCTTGATCCCTTTATCTGCCAGGCCCATTGGAAGAATTGGGTAGATGCTGGATTTGTGGTAAAAAAATTTTTAAATAAACCAGTATAAATTCTTCCTTTCAAACCCTCTGCTTTCCTCCTCCCCACAAAGACCATGAAGTTTTATTTCAAAGGCATCAAAATCTCTGGAAACCTCCAGATCTACTTTATTTCCTTACACCTTTGTACCTTTTGATATGTGCACGTACTGCAACATCCTTTCTGGTCTTTAGTTCTGTACACAGGAAGGATTTCATTTAATATTTATATCTGCTTGGAGAAAGAATTGAAAACAGAGGGAAATATATAGGCCAGCTATTTTCTTGGCCTCCATGCCACAGGGCAAGGAGATAGAGCTGCAGATTGTCAGTACTGAGTAGGGCCCCTCATTTGGACTAAAGTGTTAACTTGACAGAGGAAGGAATTGAGGCCCAGAGGAGACATGATGTAAACCTTAGCAGAAGGTGTCTGTTCTGATTTCCTTCCCTGAGTTTGCTTATGTGTTTATATAACAGGAACACACTGCCTAGGTCTCCTCATCCTCTTCATAGCTGAGATCTTGCATATCTGTACTTTGCTTCCTAGTTCTCTGCTCCTCTCCCCTTTGATTTGAAGAAGTTGAGCCTCTCTGTTTTTCACTGTCCCTATTGCCTAAAAGTAGATGGCATGAACACACATTTGTTTTCTCATCCCAAGAAACTTGGAGGAATCCTTCTGAAACACAGATGCCAGATGGGGGCAGCTGCCTGGCCCGAGTGTATCAGTTTACTGTTGTCTTTTAGCTCTAACCCCTGCCTTCTAAACTCTGCATTAGGATGCTTGGGGATGGGGCTCTGCAAACCACATTTCTGCTGCAACAGGTGGCTGCCTGTGAAGGTCTGATCATGAAGTGTTCTAGTACTCTAAGACTGTAAGGCTGTAGGAGGATGGGGCTAGCTGGTTTAATATTTTGTTAAGTTGTGGGGTGGGGGAGAGACGGGAGAGATCTAAGTTGCTAGACTGTGCTTGCAATGTAGATGAATCCTAACACTTGTCTGACACTTGTTTGGGGGGAATCTCTGACTCCTTGGAGAATGATGCTCCTGCCTGCCTTGGTGGCTTTGCTTGTCTATCACATGGCCATGAACACCACTGGGCTTAACCTTGTGAAGAGCTGCTCACAGACAGCTGAGCAGTTGTGAATGACCCAGAGGTCAGGATAGGAGCAGCCTCTGAGTCTGCTCTAGAACAGTAACATCAGCTTTCTTTTTTTTTGGAGACAGGATCTCACTATGTAGTTCTGACTGACCTGGAACTCACTGTGTAGCCCAGGCTGGTCTCAAACTCACAGCGATCCTCCTGCCTCAGTCTCCCGAGTGTTGTGATTATGGGTGTGCACCACCATGCCCGGTGTAACATCAGCTTTGTAGTCATACCCATGCCTCTATTACAAGCTCCATGTGTGGTGAAGCCCTTAGGCCTGGGCTCGTGTCCACACCCACATAAATGGGCTGAGCAGGAGAAAGAACCACACAGAAACTTGAACATGAAGAGCTATCTAGGTACCTGACATGGTGAGAAGACACATTACAGGATGTAGTAGTAGAAAGGAGAGAATGAATGCACATTGCCATGCTTTAGTCCAGAAGCAAGAGAAGTAAGCGGTGTAGATGGAAAATATTGACTCTGGTTTAATGGAAATACAAAAATAGTTTATTCTGAGCCAAATGTGAGGGGCTATGGCTTGGAAATGTGAATTTAAGTTACCCTGAATGATGTATTTTATGTGGAAGAAGTTACATGATCTTTTATAAGAAAAGAGCAAAGGATACAGTTACCAAACACACTGATGGAGGCATTAGGCAGGTAGACCATGGCAGAGTGAGAACATCTCTTCTAAGTTTTCAGGTGTTGTAATATTCTTAGCTTTACCGTCACTGGAGGCTAGAGGGGTGTGCTAGACTCAGTGACAACGTTCCCAGAGTTTTACCTGGTAGTCAGGAGGATGCTACATGCTATAAACTGGTTTAGAGTAATTGGCTATTTACAGGTCTGATAGCCTCAGATAATTTTGGCTCTCCACAGCTGTGAAGTTCTACTCAGTCAAGGTCAAACAATCTCCAGGAGCGTTAGTGTAGATATGGCTTCTTCAGGACTTCAGTTCCAGAATGGGGATTATTCAGATTTCGGAGCTCAGAGAGGGGCTTTCCGGAAGGGCTGTGCTCATTTGGTGCTGGTGTCTTGCAGGTGGGCACGGGGAAAGGCGAAGGATGGTAAGATCAATTCCACAGGTGATGGAAAAACTGCCCCCTGGACTCTGGTATTGCTCCAGAAAGGAACTGCTGCAGCCAAGGTGCAGGCACCCCTGCTGGGGTAATTATGATCACCAGAATAGTAAGAAAGGAAGTCAGGTGGATCTGAGGGCAAAGCAGAATTTCATCTGGTGCTTCCTCTATGCTGAGAAGGGTCTAGATTTGCCTCCAGGGATTAACTTCTATCCTTTCAGGAAGAGATGGAAAAGGCTGGGGCTGGGGCAAATGCAGGGATAGGAAAGAACTTTGCTTGTATCTGCTTCTCCTCAATTGTCTTTAGCCTAAATTGTTCCTCTTATCCAAGTGGTATATCTCAATATGGGCATATTCTTCTACTTTTTAAAATATAATGAAGAGCATCCACATAAGTATGCCTTTGAGATGTTCTTTGAGAATATAAAATATAGGATTTATAGAAAGAGGAGAGAGTCTAGCTACAAATGTAATACCCATGGAGTAGACCACTGAGATATCCAGGGCATTAGACTTGTGCCAGTTAGAGTTAATTTTCAACTTGACTGGATTATGAGACTCTTGTGGAGGTTATCAGATCATGGGGTGTTACACTCATCATTGTGGATTAATCTACTCATGTTCAGAGCTGAATGCACTGTCAGGAGGTGGGGCCCAGTCAGAGGAGGTTGAACACTGGGAGTGTGTCTTTAGAGGGTATATCTTTCCCTGGCATTCTTCCCCCATTCTGGTTCCTGGCCACCATGAAGTCAGAAGCTTTGTTTTACCTTGCCCCTCTACCATATTTCTGTCTTGGAGTCAGCCAACCATGAACTGCAACCTCTGAAGCCATAAGCCAAGTTAAATCCTTTCTCTTTTAATTTGTGGTGCCAAGAATTTTTTTCCAATGAATGGAAAGCTGATAAATATAAAAGAATTCAGTTTGGCTCAGTTCTGTAAGCAGTGGTGAGGGGAAAAACACAGTGGGCTGCTACTTAAAGTATATTTGGCACAGACATGAAGTGGCCTCAGGCAGGAGAGGGCGATGTGAGGAAAATGATCCCTCACTTCTGAGGTAAGTTGCTAAGTAATAATAGTTTTCCAACTCATGGCCGTGCCACAGGTAGTTCCCAAAGAGAAGCAGCTCTTGATCTACCTGAAGTTGAGCCACACACATTTAAAGCAGTGGCCAAGGATTCTAGATGGGCATGATTAAGGACTGAGTCACACAGCACTGATGGCAAGTAGTGCATGAATCCAGAGGAAAAAGGACACGCGCAACATTATAGTCACCGAGCAACGGGGATTGGAAGGACCTTGGCAGGGAGGAGAGGACCAACTCAAGAAGGCCAGGTGGGGAGGTCATTAACGTAAGCTAAGGAAAATTCTCCTCAGGAATTTAAAATCAACCAACAAGTGTTTTCTCTGCACTGTGCTAAAGGTTGTGGGTGATTAAGGCCATTTCAAAGAATTTACATTCTGCCTGGGGAAGTGGACAGAGCTGGGATAAGAGAAAAGTAGATATTATTATTTTGTTTGGTTTGGTTTTTTTGAGACAGGGTCTCACGATGTAGTTGAGACTGATCTGGACTCATTATGTAGCCCAGGCTGGTCTCGAACTCACAGCGATCCTTCTGCCTCAGCCTCCTGAGTGCAGGGATTACAGACAGGCATGCGCCACCACGCCTGGCAAAAGTAGATACTATGAATAGTGATCAGTTCCCTGCTAAGTTCATCATGGGCTTACCCAGCATGGTTTTGAGACCTGCTACTCTAATGATACAGGATAAGTGATTATCTAACTGCTGTCTTGAAGAAAGGCAAGTCTCCACTGAAGATAAAGTGGCCTTAGAAGTCATCCGTACTTCTTGGAGATATTTTAATGGAGATACAGCATAAGCTAGGGAAAATACAACTTGATAAGAAGTAAAAAAAAAAAAATCTGTTTTGTGTACCTATTCTGTTCTGTGGCCGTGACATGCCACCTTCATCTCTTTATGGCCATCAATGTCCTAGTTGAAAAGTCTCATCCAGAATTCTTCCAATACCCTCTGCCAATCTGGGTCTAAACTACTGATATACACAGTACTGAGCTGGCCCTCCAGACCCACGATTCCACATCTGCGGATCCAACCCACCATGGGTTGAATATATTTTAAAAAATTGTGTCTGTATTCTGCATGTAAAGGCTTTTTTGTCATTATTCTCTAAAGAACAATAAATATAAAATATTTATACAGCATTTGCATTTTAAGGGATTATAAGTGATCAAGAGATGATTTGAAATGTATAGGAGGAGTGTATTAAGTATATGCCAATCTATATGGGACAGGAATATTTGTTCATTTTGGAATCTGGATGCCACTCCCAGGAATACTGTGGGATGCCTGTATATAGCTCTTTTTTTCATGTTATAAGCCCATTGACAACAATGGCTGTTATCACTGTTAGCTTTTACTGATTCTGATTTTGTCTTATCAAAGAAATAAAGAATGACCAAGAAAAAATATGATGAAATAAGGCAAGAAGTTTAATGTGGTGTAAAGAAGAAGGAAGAAAGGAACAGCATATTGACTGATCTGCCACACAGGAACAGCTACGAAGGAAAGGAGAAAAAAGAGTAAAGGTATAAATGCTGGCACATAAACAGAGTAAGATTCTTCAGTGAAATCAACTGAGCTTAACTGATACAATAAAGCGATGTGGTGAAAGGAGAGAATGGTTGAATGAATGGAGGGAAGATAAGTGAGTAGGGTGGAGCATTTCATTTAGGAATAATTAAAGGAGGCAGAACGGAAGGAATTCCCAGCCGCAGGAACCATTGCCCCTGCTCACCCTCCTTGCACATGTATTAAAAAACTAACCAAGCTGGGTAACAGAGAAATCCAGAACTCCTATGACTTTAATAAGATAGAAATGATTTTTTCCCCCTCAACTATTAGGAGGTACTGGGTAGTGAAGGAATGCAGGGAGCTCTGCTCCATGAGATAATACAAGGCCTTCTGTTCCTTCTCTCTTGTGCACTACAGTGCTCTTCAATGTATTCACCTGTATGAATGATTAAATTAGGATCAGCAAGTCCCCGGCCCTGGAAGGAGAGGATGCCTCTGAAGGAAACTTTTCCATTTAAAGCTGTGATGTTCACCTCTGCTCACATTTCAGTGCTGAGAATTTAGTAACAAAGCTGGACATGCCTGTAATTTCAGCAAGGAGCTAGGAAACCCAGGGAGGACGATTCCAAGTTTGAGCCCAGACTAGGCAATTTAGCGCGTTAGTGAGACCCTGTCTCCAGATAAAAAATAAAAGAGCTACAGATATAGCTCAGTGCAAAGGTGCTGGGTTTAATTCTCAGTAACACACACACACACACACACAGAAATTTAGTAACAGCCCCAGGGGAAGCTTGGAAATGTGGAGAGAGAGAGAGAGAGAGAGAGAGAGAGAGAGAGAGAGAGGGAGGGAGGGACAGGGACAGGGACAGGGAGAGGCAGAGGGAGAGGGAGAGGGAGAGGGAGGGAGAGAGAGAGAGAGAACAAGCTGGGAAATGTGGCCTGCCCCATGACAGCCATGGGTCTCACTGTGACGTGAAGTTTCTATTGCTAGAAGAAGAGTTGTGAGGTGGGGTGGGTGGACAGTTAATCTCTATTCTGGCTCAGATCCGTTCATCTTGGTTAGGATATGTCATGGCTAATAAATTCAGGAAAGACGTTGGGAAGACACTTACTCATAAATTAGGAGCTAATGATACCATGTATACTGGGCTTGTGGCTCTGCTAATGCCAAGATATGAAGTCGTGAACCAAATGAGGAGGTCAGGAGAGTTTTTACTGGATATAAGGAGGAGAACAGCTCCTGGATTTACAGGAGAGGTCCTGCATGGGGTGACCACATGCCACCCCAAGAGCTAATGATACGTAAATAGTGCAGAAGAATTGAATAATTGTTTAGTGGTCACCTATCACAGGTGGTTCTATGGGTTTAAAATGACCAATTGGAACTCAGGGTTTTAACCCAGTTCTTCAACACATAGGGTTTATGAGAATCTGGGATCTTAGGAAAAACTCATTTATTTGCTTTGCAATTTCTTCCAAATTCAGCAACTTAGAAGGGAGTGAGCTGCAGCCCATACTGCATGGGGAAGTTCATTCTTTGTCCAAAGTGTTAGTTCACTGCCTAGTCTTCATTTTTACCAGTGTGGATGGTCACTGTTTCTGGCCCTTCCTCTAGCGAGCTGTCTTACTAATGAGCTAACTAAAGAAACTATTCTCTACACTATGGTTCTCCCTAGAGAGAGAACTCACACAGCCATAGCACATGGGCCAATCACAGAATTCTAAAAACTAGCATTTACTTTTTCTTCATATGTGCAAGTCACTGGCTGAGAGCTTGTACGTATTTCCATGATCTTTCATTGGAATCATAATATTATTCTTGTAATTGAGGCTCAGAAACAGGATGCTACTCAGGATCACACAGTGGGTATCAGAGCCTCAGCTATGATAGTCTGGAAGCAGCCCAGCCCAACACTGCCTACAACAGCCTGGCGGAGCAGCCACTATTAACATCTTCGTTTTACATTAATAAATAGGGACCGAGGAGTAAATCTGCTCAAGGTCACACGGCAGGTAACAGCCACAGGGTGATCTGCACCTGTATCCAGGTAGTTGTGCTGCACCTTGGTCATGGGAGGCCCCCAAGGTCTGGCACCTGGCACTGGGTTACACCATCCACCTTAGCATGCAGACAGGTGTTGTGTGCAGGGCAGCTCTGCTCCTGCCAAAGGGCGTCCCGGGTGGTAATGGGCTGGGCGTCTTTCAGACCGCAGCCCATTCCGATTTGTTATTAATGAAAACAGTTCGGAAAACATTTGGCACCAGAATGCTGTGTAAGAGGAGGCTTTAATGGGAGCGGCTGAGCTGCAGCAGATGGATGTCGACAGGGTCTCTCTGGAGTATCTGTTTTCCTTTGTCTTTGAATACATTCAAAGGGTGCCACCTGTGAGCTTGGATGGGTGGTTTTGAACTACACACAGCTCAGTCAAAGCTTTCCTGAGGGGATAACAATAAAGGACAAGAGTATGCACAGGGCCAAATTCTTCCCGGGTCTCTGAACCCCTGAGGGGCTGAGCCAGGGACAGAAATGAGACACAGCCCCTGAAGCCCTGAAGCCCTGCTTTGGATTGCCACAGGCCCCTGCCTCTTGATTTCAGCTGGGCTCTGCTGTTCCAAGATGTGTGTGGGGGGAGGACTCTCTTGGCCTTGAACCTTGTCATTCATGGAGAAAAGTTGGCCCAAGCCCAAGCCCAGAGGGGCAATCACGGAGCCTTTGATTACTCAAATCTAGACCTCTGGTGTCCACAGCACATCCCCCAGGGAAGGCCCTGACTTTCAGGGGAACAGGGTCCTCTAGGGACAGCCCTTTAGGACCTTGCCAGATCTCTAGGAAAAACATTTTTTTTTCTTGTGGATGAAGCCAGCCCCTCCTCAGCACCTTGTTTTTGCATATGAAAGGCCTGGTAATTACTACTTTCATCCTTAAAGCATGCAAGTGACATGCAAAATTAGCACTTGAGAGGATCCACTTTTAGACCTTGTTGTAAAGCAAAACTTATTATTTGAAGATAAATCAATTTCTCTTGCCTGTATTTGCGGTTTCCCCCAGATGGCTAATTACCAAAGATAAATGTGTATAAACACAAGCCGGATCCCTCTCCATGCATCTTCCACTGCCTGCCTGTTCATTGGGAGGTTAATAGTTGTGGTCCTGTGTAGATTGCCGTCTAATGGCTTTGATGGGCCCAACAAGTTTATGACCTTTTATTACAAACAGAAGGACAGGCATTTCAAGAAAGGAAGGTCATTTTCGAGATGAATGTGCAGATAACTAGCTGCTCAGAAATGGAGCCAAAAGGAAAAAGAAAACAGAAAACAAAACAAGAAGCGGCCAGGGTGGGGGCTGGGAGGAAACTAGGCCCAACCAAGAGCGAAACAAACAGCATAAATGTCATGGAAATCGGTTTACAGCAAAATTAAATAAGGTTCCTGCAAGCATTAATTTTCATATTCTCTGTTTATGCACTGTTAGAATTATTCTCTGGCTTTGATTTATGAGGGCAAAAGAGCTGGCACTATCACTCAGATGCTCTCCAAATTCAGTTAAGGGCTGGCACATCCGTTCACCAGGAGCTGACTTCCTCTGTGGTCAAAAGGACAAGCAGAAAGTCGTGTCTTGAGGAGCAGCTTAGAACCCTGCGCGGAAGTTGAGACTCAAATGACTCCCTACTACTCCCTCCTTTCTCCCTTCCTGTATCCTTCCCTTCCTTCCTTCATTCTTCCCTCCCTCCCTTCCTTCCTTCTGATATAGGAGAAATATAACTCCCAGCCTGTTAGACATCAGATGTGCTCTAGTTCACGTCCTCTAAAGTCAAAGAATGAATTCCAAAGGACAAAGGAGGCTAAAGTGGGAAAGGTTTGTTGGGGACCAGGAATATCTCCTGAGAGACAGGAGCAGTCACCAGTGGATTGCCACTGAGGGCTCTCATCAGGGATAATTTATAAGGCAGAGTTACAATGTGGGTCAAGTTATAATCAACCAATAAGATTACGAGTACAGCTGCCTAGCTAACATTGATCCAATAGGAAAACAGTGCAAGTAGCAAGAGTATATGGCTTGCATCATTAACTTTGGTTTATCTATGATCTCTAAAACGGGAACAACTTTGGGAAGGGATGGGTCCAGATGTTCTGGTCACTCACCCGGGTATCTGATGCATATCTGGACTTGATGGACTAGGTGGTGCCAAGTACAGTTCAGTATAAGCTCGAGTTTCCATTTATCCCTGAGGGAGGATGCAAGTCAGGCCATTGTTATTTTTCTTGAGGCTTTGTCCTCCCAGTTTCACCTCCAGCCACAGTTCTGATGTGTTCTCATCTTCTGCACTGACTCTGCAGGGCCCATCCTTATCTGACTGTATATTAATTTCTAATTTAGCTGCCTATAATCCTTCTAACTTGCTTTCATTCCTTCCCTTTTTCTTTCCTTCCTAATTACAAATTTAGACATGCTCATTATCACAACAAAATGACGTAGAAGACTGTAACCTGCCCCTTCATCCATCCCACTTTTTGGAGATAACAACCAGTATCAAGAGATAGGTAACTAATTAAAAATGTAAATCTGAGGGCTGGGAATTTAGCTCAGTGGTTCTGCTGCTTCCCTCTCAAAAAAAAGTAAATCTGAGATGGGTGGAGTGGGGGTTACATGCCTGTATTCCCAGCACTCCGAGAGGCCCAGGCAGGAGAATTGCACATTTGAGCCCAGACTGGGCAACTTAGTGAGATCTGGTCTCAAAATAAAAAAATAAACTAAGGGAAGGGTTTGTACCTCAGCGTTAAGGTAATACCCAGCATCACAGAAGATAGATTAGATGATACATAGGCAGGTAAATAGATAGATCTACTGTGATTGGATGAGTATTCCCTAAAAGCATGTATGTTAAAAGCTTGGACCCCCCGCTTGATGCTGTTAGGAGGTGGTGAAAGCCTTAAGGGGTGGAGCTTAGTAGGAGGCCCTGAGGTCATTGGACAATGCCATGAAAGGAATTGTG